GATCTGAGTGTACAGTTGCGGTGGCATGATCTAATCTATGCATAGGGACGTGAGAGTAAAGATGAGGAGACCTATTAGTAGATAGGTAATATCCAGGTGAGTGGTAAGAGAATGTAATATTTCTGAATCCAAACCAAGAGAATATATCTAATGGGTGTGGTCAACCGGGTTCCATGTTGCAGTGGCTGAGGATGACAGGGACTAAGAAATGCTACTAGATTTGGTGGGGGAGGGGAAGGGAGAGGACAGAATCAAAGTTTACCCCTAGGTTGGGAGCCTGAGTGATTGAAATGACGGTTGTGCCCCAGACAGTAACAGGGAAATAAGGAAGAGAAGGAGGGTTTGGGGAAAATCTGATGAAATCTATTTTGGACATATTGAGTTTGAAATGCCTCTGGGACAGCCAGTTGGAAATGTTTAGTAGGCCACTATTGGTCATTTAGGTCAGTTTCCAAGATAATTGTTTTTTTTTTGTTTGTTTGTTTTTTTGGTTTTTTTTGGTGAGGCAATTGGGGTTAAGTGACTTGCCCAGGGTCACACAGCAAGTAAGTGTCAAGTGTCTAAGGCCAGATTTGAACTCAGGTCCTCCTGACTCCAAGTTAGTTGTTGTAAACTCAACTATAGGCTTGTACAGGCTTATATGAGCCCAACATGGTTCTCTTACAGCAGCAGGGACAAGTGGAATGAGGTAGCTTTCCTTGTGTCTCAGAGATGGCCCTGGAAAGATAGGAGGTGATCGATGCATTTAATCTCTGGAAGCTAGGGCATATTTAAAATAATTTAAAATATTCTTTTTTTTTTTTGTAGTAAGGAACTTCTAAAACCTCTGGAGTCATCAGGGTGGTGTCAAACTCAAAAAGGAACAGATCCCTACTGGCTGCCTATTGACTTAGAAAACCATAAATTATCCTTATCTTTGTTCTATTTTTTAAAATTTATTTTGTTAAACATTTCCCAATTAGATTTTAATTGGAAGTTTTGCTGGGCTTAGGGCCCTCAGGCCACAATTTTGACATTTCTGATTTAGACAACCTCTAAACCATTTGGAAAGCTCTAAATCTTTGATTCTTAGGAGAAATTTTCTTAGGAGAAATTTTCTCTGAAAAGGAGTGTGTATCTTTTTCTGCATGGCTCTGGAAAGGGAGAAATGAAAAGGCATGTTGTACTGAGCTGGGTCCTATTCGCAGAGCTCAGGTTTGGCCGAGGATTGTCAGATTGACATTTCAGAGCTGAAATTTCTATAGGTCATGTGATACACATAGAATGTGTCCCTGCAGAGACTCACTCACCTAAACATATATTATTCATGGGTACTCTGACTCTTCTACCAAAAGAGAGTCAGACAAAAGGAGAGATAAGGTGATCTGCATTAAGAGGAGGGGGAAAAAAATTTGATTTTTTAGCAAGTCTGAAAAAGTTCATGAGGAATTAAGGGGAACTTGGGAGAAAGCATTAGTCTTTGGCCTTTACAAGAGAAATGCCTCCTGGGACCTTTGCTATGGCAAGTAGAGGAGACAAAACACATTCAATTCTCAGCTCTCCAGAAAAGGTTATTCACAAGCTTATATTATTTTGAGCCCTAGGCAGTTTACTGTGATGCAAGACAAAGAAGGTTGGTCTATAGTCAGTCTCCAGAGAAAACAATTTTGGGAAGGAAGCATAGAGTAGTTTGTCCCTGATAAGACCATCAAGAGGAGGAAATTTGGGGCTCCTTTTCTGGGGTCCCCTGAGACCAGGCTATGAGCAGAGTTAGTCTTCCTTCTCTCAAGCATTCATTGTTAGACTAGCTGGAGGAATGGAAAGGATGGAATAAATTATAGATTAAAGAACATTAGAGCTGGAAAGGACCTTAGAGGTCATGTCACCTGACCCCCTCATTTCATTTCATTTATTCATTTATTTATTTATTTATTCATTCATTTTTTATTTTTTTGCGAGGCAGTTGGGGTTAAGTGACTTGCCCAGGGTCACACAACTAGTAAGTGTCAAGTGTCTGGTTTGAGACTGGATTTGAACTCAGGTCCTCCTGACTCCAGGGTCGGTGCTCTATGACCCCCTCATTTTACAAAAGAACTTGAAATCCAGCTATTGTGTGGTAGAATTGAGACCAGATGCCAATGCTCCTAATTCCTGGTCTATTGCGGTTCAGCTATAGTGGGAAAAGTGCTGGGTTTAGAATCGAAAAACTTGAGTGTGAGTGTCAATTCTTCCACTCACCAAGCTATGTGACCTTGGGCAAATTACTTAATGTCTCTGTACCTCATTTTTCTCCTCTGTAAAATGGGATAACAATATTTGTCCTACCAACTTCGGGGGGTTATGAGGAAAAGGCATAGAAACATGAATTTTATTGTTTATTATTAATAAAAAATGTATTAATAATGAGTACTACTATTATTTCATCATTGTATTGACTGTCTACCATATTGCTTCCACATAGTAGATGTTTATTACATATTTGTTAAAACTAAATTTATTATTATTGTAGATATTGGATAATAAGGGAGGTATGAGGGGTTTTCTCTCTTTTTTAAACTTTGATAACT